TGAATCATATAATATTAGTTGTTATGGTAATACAAATATGTGTATAGGTTATATTAAGTATACCCTCAGTCTTATTTTAAGGTTTCTGGTAATGTCTTATAGTTTTTATTTGGCAATGCAATTAACATCCTGAAAATTTTCTAGATAGTAAAGACATTTGAACAAAAAGTGACCCTTCTGTTATCATCTTACTGTCTACACATTCGCACCTAGGTGAGGATTGCCTACTTGGAGATTGGATTCCTTCTTCACAGATAAACTCATGTTTTCATGAGATAGTGTTTCCATATACGTCCCAGACTAGAATTGAACCTCATGACCCTTTTTCCTTCAACTTTCTAAATTTTAGAATTAAAGAGACCTGGGGGCTGAAAAGATGGCTAAGTGGTTAAGAGCACTGGATGCTCTTCCAGAGGTCCTGAGTTCAGTTCCCATCACCCACATGGTGGATCACAACCACCTGTAGTGCAATCTGATGCCCTTTGCTGGCATGAAGTCGTGCATGCAGATAGAGCCTTCATACATAAAACAAATAAATGGTTAAAAAAAAAGAATTAAAGCGAAGTACCACTACATACAGTTCCCATCTTACTTTTTACATTAACTTCAGAACCAGGCATGACAGTGCACTCATGTAATTCTAGTATTCAAGAGGCAGGGTTAGGAAAATGGAGTTTGTGGCCAGTCGGTTCTACAGCAGTGAGATCCTGCTGCATGAGTAAATAAATTAAGCTGGGGTGATGGCACACACCTGTTATCCCAGCACTCAGATGGTGAAGCAAGAGGATCAGCGGGTCAAGAACATACTTACTTACATAGCAAGTGTAAGACCAATCTGGCCTGTATGAGACCTTGTCTCAAAAAGAGAAAATTTAAAAATACAGAGATGAATAAATGAATTCAACTTTGTAAGGGAATAAATGACTAATAACTAAGTAACTTTATGTTTCACAGGTTTGTTTTTAAGAAAAATCTAAGTGTACTCATGACTATTTTATAATATAAATATAAAATTTCTTCATCTTTTTTCATGTATAACAGGTTCTCAGTCAAGTTAAGCTGACTTTCATTAATTTCTGAATATTGCTTTTAAACATTTTATTGTGCTAGTTGTTTTGAATTTTTTTAGATTTATTTATTCATTTATTTAATGTGCATTGGTGTTTTGCCTGTATATATTTTGTGTGAGGGTGTCAAATCCCCTGGAACTGTAGTGACAGATAGTTGTGAGCTGCCATGTGGATGCTGGGAATTGAACTCAAGTCCTCTGGAAGAGCAGCCAGTGTTCTTAAGTGCTGTGCCTAATCTCCAGCCCTGTTTTGAATTTCTTATTTTGTGCATATTTGTACTATTCTAGAGGTCCTGTAGTGATGCTCTATATGATACTTACTTTGATTTGGAGTTGTATCCTTGGAGTGAGTGGGCATGTAGATGGAAGTAAGCTATAGAAAGGAATCCTGCAGGTTGGTTCTTCCCTGGAACCTTTCCTAAATCTCTTGTATTTTAATTGAAAACAATGGCCCAAGGTAACAGAAGTGATTAATTAAGTAGAAAATTTTATCAAATACTTAGAAATTTTTAAAATATTTTAAGAATAGCCCATTGGACAGAGAAAATGTTTCAAGACTCAGTTAGCTTCACTAAATGTCCTGAATTTTTTTTTTCCCTTAAAAATTCCTGAAGGGATACTAAAACTTAATGGTCTCTCATTTTTAGATTATCCGAGTAAAGACTAACATTTGAATCAAAGCACATCTAAATTATTTACTTCCTTTTTTGACTTTTTGAAATTAAAACATAATTGCATCATTTTCCCATTCCTTGTCCTCTCTTGAACTACTCTCAGGCACCCCCTTGCTCTTTCTGTTATACATACATACATACATACATACATACATACATACACATACACACACACACACACACACACATACACACACACGCACACACATACACACGCACCGCCTGCTCAGCCTGTCTACTGTTACCCTTGTGTGTAAATCCTTACTTTCTCATCCTGTCCTATCTCGAATGCTTTTCTCAGCATCGTCTGCATGTGCTGATTGTCGTGGCGGCTCTTCTTAGCATACTGAGACTCAGTGTCGGGTGACTGAGGGATGATTAGCCAGTTTCCTCTTAAAATGCGTTCAGTTTGCACTGCAGTCCTCTACATAGTGGTGAAGCACTGTGCTTGTATCAGTCCAGAAAATTACAAATCAAAAATGTAAACTATTTTAAACATTGATTAAAATTGTAAACTATTCCAAAATATAATTGGGATGGATTATTAAATCACTTCTTAAAGTACAGTTTAATTGTTTTCCTAAAGATTTAAATTTACAAGTGAAGTTTTCTTGTTTATGTTGTGTACTTTTTAATAAAACAGTGGCTACCCTTTCTAAAACAATGCTTTATGTCTAGAATAAAATGAGGTAAATAAATTAGGATTACTAAGAAAAATACTTCAATTGGAATACAAACCACAGCTCAAGAACTCCAGTGAAACACTGAACATGTTAAACCTTATAAATAGCTATTTATTGTTTCCTATTCAGTTGTTGATACTGAGGCTGTGTATGTATTCTTGCATAAACGAATGCCTATTCCAGTGTTGCTAGACATGCTGGGTTTCCTTATCTGGAGCATTGGGGTGATTCCTGTGGGGCTGTGTCATTCCCTGAGTGCTGCTGTGACTTTAACCCCTAAGCCTTGACTGATCACTTCTAGTCTTAGCTGGTAGTGGGCACAGAAAGTACAGCTTGACCTTGTATGTTGCAACATTTAAAATATAATACTGTCCATTGCTGTGACAGCATTTATGAGGAAAGTTCTACCTTCTACTGTGGTCTTTTTAATCTTTCACTTATTAACCTACTTTCACTCAGTCTATGATGAGTATATGTTTCATATTATTTGTGGTAATAAAGATATCTGGAAAAATGTAAAAATTCCCTAAAATTATCAAACCATTTTCACTAAGGAAAGAAAAATCTTTATGAGGTATTTTTCCTAAGGTGGGGATGTTTGTTCTATAAATAAACAGAATCCCTTTGAGACATGAGACATGCCAGGACATTTGAATTAATATTCTGTCCCTCACCTAGAATTATGTATCTATTATTTTTAAAAATACAGTATCAAACCATACAATGTAACAGTATATGTACGTGTGTGTTTATGTATGTGAATATATATACATTTATATGTATGAATATATGTATATTTCACTTGAAAAATTGCTTGACTAGGTAAGAACAGATGAGATTTTTGACAACTGAGTGGACACCAGTGTCCTGTTGTGATCACTATAGATACTTTATTAAGTTTTCCCACCAAATGCTATGTGAGAGAAAAGTTTATTATTAGACTAAGATCACAATAAATCTTTGAAACAAACATAAAGCTTGGTATTCTTCATAATACAGGTTTTTAGAAATGTAAGAAGTACAGAGGAATACAGCTGTGTGGCCTTTTGCTTTTACTGACCTGTTGCAATGAGGGCAAACCAGAGGCCTTGAGCTAAGAATGGGTCACAAATTATTGGTCACATTTATTTTCAAAAACTGTGTTTCCTCTAAAATAGAATTTCAGAAGAATAGAACTATGAATTTTATGCTGAAATTCCATTTAATTCATTTTTATGGCAATCAAATATATATGAATTTATATTTAATCTTGGCGATCATGACGTTTTTGACCGTGACTGGCCTTTAAGCTGAGCCGTCTCTCCAGCCCCGCCCCTGCTCTGGGTGTGTTTAGAAACAGTACTGAACTTGACGTAGGAAATCAGTCACATAAAAGTTCTTTAAATGATTGTACTTCTGTTTTATTCTGCAACTTTAAAGTATTATTCAAAGATATAAAACAATATAGGATGAATCTAGTACTCTGTTTCTAATAGTATTTGTTTTTCCAAGTCTGTATGACATATAATTCATGATACTGAGGATATTGTGTCCTTTTTTTTATTACTTTTCTCTAATCGCCCTTTTTTTTATTTTCAAAAATCAGAGCATATTTGTAGGTAAAATGGTTCAGCCCATGACATTACTGTTTGCTCTCCCTACTGTAGTCTGTAAATACTTCCTTTCCTATGACTGCTTTCAGCTCAGATGGTAACTGTTTGAAATGGATTTTGGTCATATATGTTGCTTTTGAGTTCTAGAGCAAAAGTTAATGTTTTTAGATTTGTCTTCCAAATCATGGAACTGAATTATAGCCATATATTGATCTCATTAGGGTATATAAGCATTATTGAAGGCTCCAAGAGAGAAGTGTCAGTAATTCTTGGCCATAGACTAAGTATTCTTGCTTCAACAAGAATTAAGTTTCAGTGGTTGGAGAGGTCTTTATGTTTTTATTTTTAGTTTTCATTTTGAAGTTCCAGTTTCATCCGACACCTGTCTGAGTTGTTTGGTCTACCTGGAGTGCACTAGGTGGATGATGGAGTTCCCAGTTCTCTGCAGAGTGAAGTCTGTTTGGAGGGTGTGTTTAAATACGGATACGCACTTCCAAGCCGCCCTGTTTTCCTGTAACCTCATTTTCATTCTTCTGCTTAAAACATTCAAGCTATCAGTATACTATGATAATGCTATTAACATTTTTATATCTTACTCCGTTTGCTAATAAACATACTGCATAACTTTCTCTTCTCTGGAAAGTACTAGGAAACATTGGTGAATGTCTTTAAACTAGGATACAGCACACAGCTCCCATGTTCTCTTCATTCTGGAAAGCAGGTAGCTGGGGCTGCAGTGATTATAACTGAGCAACTAGGTTATAATTCAATTACTGGGAATTGCTAATAAAATCAGATTTGGGTTCTTTAGAACTTTTTAAGCTTAGTCAGAAATTACTCAAGATGTGTTGGGAAAATTCTTTTTTTGCATACACAGTAATTTTAAGCAATTTTTTTTTTTCAAAATCAGTTTGATTCATCATGACCAAATAGCAGAAGGGCACTAAAGACCGACTGAGCTGCTTTCTGACTAACATTTCAGGGACTGTGAAGCAGCAGATAGACAGCCATATCACAGATCCAGATCAACAGAGCAGCGGCCTCTCCTAGAGCGGACCACCACCCGCTCCAGATCCTCTGAACGTCCTGATACAAACCTCATGAGGTCGATGCCTTCACTAATGACTGGAAGATCTGCCCCTCCTTCACCTGCCTTACCGAGGTGAAAGATAAATCGATCAGACTAACTCCCCTGTCTGCTCTGCCAACACACTGTCTTATTGTCCCACCAGTAAATGGTCTCGTCATTTTTGGCTGCTCACCAGTACAAGTCGATACTAACCTGTCAGTGTCAACACACTATTTGTATTCAGTGGATATAATAGTGTGTCATTACCATTGTAATTTGTTTCTTAACTGTCCCGATTGCATTTGTTTCGTGATTTCTCATTAGTCGAGTCCTGGGTAAATCCTGTCATAACTATCATTTTCTTCCACAGAAGGAGAAATTACTGTGCTCATTAGGCATGATTTTTCTAATAATCATCACAACAGTAAATAAGCTAGATGTATTTAGTTTCTATGAACATTAATATTAGATATCAGAATTTTCTTTAGCTGAGTTTGAAGTTACTTGGGTTTTTTTTGTAGATTCATAAATTGTTTTCTAATAAGAAGGATATTTAGTATAAACTTAAGTAAAAATCTGATTGTGTCAAAGGTGGAAGGTTAGTTTTAAGAATTTATATTATAGTAGAAAAACTATAAAATTTTATTTTTTAAGTTGTAGAATTTTCTACTTGCCTTATATGAATAGATTGATAGTCTATATTACTAATTTCATGTGTTTTCTATAGGCTTTGTGTGCATGTATGTGTGTGTGTATACATATTACACCAAAACATAAACATTTTTGGTGTTTAAGTAACTGTTCAAATGTCCATATTTGTTTTGTTCTCCTTTTAACCAGCAGCAATCCACGTTTAAAAATCACACAAATACAGCCATTTCATAAACCAGCTAGCATACTGAACTGATTTAGTGCTTACTGAAAATATATTAATGTGCATCTTGTAGGTCTCACCCTCGGACCGGGTCTGTCCAGACAAGTCCATCAAGTACTCCTGTAGCAGGACGAAGGGGCCGGCAGCTGCCACAGCTCCCACCAAAGGGAACACTGGAGAGAAGTAAGTTCTCAGTTTTATAACTATGCCATTAGGAAATACATGTGGGAGCTGGGGTGAATCAAAATTTTCTATTATCATTGTTTTATTATCTTCCTGTATTTAGCTATGTGCATGACTTCATTTGACAGTAGTTATATTTGTGAATATAATATATATTGCATGTAAAAAGTATTCTTGGAGATAAAAAGAAACAATCTTTACTCGTTTTACATTTCAAATTTGAGTAACTATATTTAAAAGTTAGCAGTAGCCTCATGCAAGCAGCTGGATTATAATGTCCTTGCTACATCTAGGATTATGAAGTTATTGGTGAATATACAAAGTTTATTAGTAACTAGCTAAGTCAATTTTCACAACATTGCAAGGACTAGTTAGCTGATGCATGACAATGGTGGTCCTTCTCAAACCTGGAATGCAAGTAACAGGTAACCCTGAATCCACAGTAAAAGATACATGTTACACTGATGCTGTTAGTAACTGGAGAAGCTGACACACTCAAACACACTTCTCAAGCAGTTATAAATCTCGGTTAAATTCTTTCTACAATCATGGATAACAGACAAGAGTAATTTTAACATCTTTTAAATCACAGTCCCTCTTTTTAGTAACTCTTTTTCAAAGCTGTGTATGTATATATCCAAATCATCATTTAAGTTTTCTTTAACAGACGATCAATTCTGTAACTTTGAAATTTGTGTTGTTTTTAACCCCTATGCTTTGCCCCCCACTCCTCTTTGTTTTCGTTTTATTTTGTTTTCCCTAGACAATGGAGTCAAGGAGATAGACCCTTATGAAGGTCTGTACATAAGGAGGGTTTGTTTGTGCTGAAAGCCTTTTGGGGGGCTGTGCAAGCAAAATAAACCCAACTGCAACTGATGTCCCTTCGTTTATATATATATACAGTTGAATTATTTTGTTTTCTAGTTTCTAAGAAAGTACACAAATTTTATTTTCTGTGAAATAACACAATGGGATTTAACGTGATTAAAGCAAAAGTACAAAGCATTTAACTTCTTTTAAATAACTAGATAATATTTGTTCTTATAAAACATTTAATTTACTTTTTAAACAAAATTCTGGATTTTGAATGAGACTATAACCAGAGATATCAGTTGCAGTCTGTGTTTATGCCTTTGAGGACATATACAGATTCTGGCTATATTTATCATTTTATATTTCATTTGTATTTTTGACGATCCTTTTATTATTAACTTTGACTTTCTACAAAAGAAGTTGTTGAGCTAGATAGTGGTTGTGACTTGTGTTTCCTGTTTTCTGTTGTAGCAAATCTGCTTAGCGTATTCAAGGATAATATGACAGTTTTATGCCTCTGTTATCAAACACCGCATTACACCTCGAAAAAAAACACGGAGGCGTAATATGTGGTCTGTATTACATTTGCTAGTGTGATAAAAAGCTGCTAGTTTCTGAATTATGAAATTGCTGGCTGTGTTTTTACTGCTGAGTCTCCAGCACATAGAAGGATGTCTAGACTAGAACAAATATTTATGGAGTTAACAAATGAAACACTGTCTTCAAAAGTGAAGTGGTGCCTCACATAGTAGATAGATTGCTACTAAAAACTTGTCATGGTGTGTTTATAGAAAACTCATAGTCCTATGACATATTTACAACAAGTCCATACATGGATTGCGTTGAGCAGCAAATCTTTTATTGTCTTATGTAACGTTTTGATCTACGTGTGCTCTTCTTAGTTGTGACTGAATGAACATCAGCTCTTGTGGGTTCTTCCTCTGCTTGCCTACTGTAATTCTAACGAGCGCACTGGTGGTGTGACTGACGCTCTCGCTTTCTATCTGATAGAAAGACATCTGTGACATTGCTGTAGTGCTTGAGTATTTCCATCAGACTGAAATGCTATGCTTTTAAATGGTTTTTCATAAGGAGGGTTCAATAGTGTGCAACTTTCGTTCCCTCAAAAACTTAAAGCTTCCATTTTCCCATCCTTTATAGCAAGAGTCTGTTGAGTTGTGATAGTTTCATGTTGTGCAATGCTAGATATGGAGAGACCAAGCCTCATTGCAGAAGGGAAATTCAGGGGTAAAGATTCAAGGACTTTTATGAGTGCTTTACCTACAGTTTTTTTTCCAGGTAGAATACATTAAAAGCACTAATATTAGCAATTTCCACAATGTCTCTAATTTTGATTTTCTGCTTTTTATTTCATAAAGGAAAGAGGAACCAAAACCTTCCCTCTCTTCTCAGTGTGGAAGAGGTTTTGTTTAATTTGTATTACTTAATGGTACTGGCTGATGTTGAACAGCATTCTCAGACATGTTAATATTGAGGCTTCAGAGATCCATGAACCTGGAACTCCTTCAGTGTTAGAGGACATACTGTATACCTATTCTGTAGATCTTCGACCTCTAACCAAAGTTAACGGTGCAGTCATCCAAAATAATAATCCAGACTGATAGTCCAAATTTCTGAGCTTCTTCTAGATGGTTGCTAGATCTTGCCATTAATGGCATTCCTAATATAAACATAATGAAGTATTTAGTCTGCCTTTAGCAACTAGAAAATAAGCTATAATTTAACTATTGTTGTTAATGGTGCCACATACCTTTAATCACAGCACTCAGGAGGCAGAGGCAGGCAGATTTCTGTGAGTTCAAGGCCAGCCTGGTCTACAGAGTGAGTTCCAGGACAGCCAGGGCTACAGAGAAACCCTGTCTCAAAAAAAAAAAAAAATCGAATTAAAAAAAAAGTTTATATAGTGTCATGGTTTTCTTCCTAGAAGAAAATTTATGTAATATTTTCCTAGTAATATACCTACTATAGAGACAAAAAAATGTGCCTCTATTTTTGAGCTACCCACATATGCCAAATCTTCTAAGGCGTCACGGTTTCTGGTTCCCAAGTCAGTACCACTGCCAACTGTGATGATGCATTAACAGTAAACAGATTTGCTTTCAGAGGCATGTCAGAAATGCAGTCAGTGTGTAACTCTTACTTTTCTTTTTATTTCATTAAAAATGATTCATTTGTTTGTTATCTTTTAAAACTAACAATCAGACCCCTGGTCTTGTCTTTTTCTTTTACTTTGGCAAACACAGAAGTTCACGAAGAAATTGGGCATGTGGAAGAAGAGGGGGGAGACAAAGAGGGAGGCGAGGTCAAGGCAGGTGTGTCTGACTGTGTGTCTCCTAAATAAGTTAATGTCCAATCTTACAATGTCCTAAGAGTTACAGTGAGACTATCTAGTCAACTGCACAGTGTTTAATTTGGCCAATTGTTTGAATATCTCTTTAATAATCAAAACAAACTAGAATTCTAGACAATGTCTTTGGCCTAAATATGTACATTGTTTACCTAAGCCTATTCTTTACATTCTGGTTGTTTCTTTTCGTTTTAATAAATAATCTTTGTCAGCTAGCTACTAGAAAACTCGATTTCCCTTATGCTTCCCTGAACAAGGGAACTCTATTTTCTTGCCTATGGGTTTCAAAAGTAGGAAAGGCACATTTTAAGGATATATAGAATGAAAATACTGAATTTCTTTAACATTTAATAGACTATGATCACTTTTCTACTATTTCATTTCCTAAATAAGAACCATTTCCTCTGGGCTTCCCTTTTCTGTCCGAGTTCAGTATTGTGCACCCTGTTTATCAGCCATTCCTCGCTGTGGCCGCTGCTTTCTAGAGGCTATGCAGGCTTTGGCCTCTCCGGTTTTGTAGTGACAACATAATTGGCTATCAGAGTCTGTCGGAGTAAAACATTATATACTCAGAACTACACTTGTCTAATTGTATTCCATTGTCACTATGCTTATTTGAACCTCAGAATTGGATCCTAATTTTCTCTAGTTGATGTCTTGAATTTTAACTTTCTATGAAATCTACAGAATAACTTAAGCCAATTTCTGTTAAGTCTTTAATTGATCTTTTATGCTATGAATTCATGTATGAGTTTTAAAGTTCGGCTGTGCCTCTCCCTCTTTATATCACTGTAAGAAAACAATGCCCTGGTGTACACTCTCCCCAAGGTATATTTTCATGGATGCATGCTCTGAACAGAATTTATAGTTTTTAAAACAAAATGACCTTATGCCAGTCATGTTGTAATTTATCAAGTGGAGAAATTATCAATATGTATCTACTAATGGAAAGAAAAGCGATCTTAGTTGCTTGGATATAGAACTGTATACTTATATCCCATTCTGAATATCAAATATTCTCAACACTAGAATTTCAAATGCCTTTCATTTTCCTGACTGATACAGAGTTAAAATTTAGTGAATTGTGGTCCTGTAGAATAATTTCCATTTTCATTTAGTTGAAGAGCTAATGTTTCTGTTTTCCTGTCCTTTTATATCTCATTCATTCACTCAAGTTCTGAGTTTTTCACACTTTATGAATTGACTTTATAGTAATTTTACAGATAGCACTCACTTGACAATTTCTGCAATACCAGAGTCACTTTTGTTTCCCACTTAACATAAACAAGACTTGTATTTTTAAAACCAGTTTCTCACCTGTGACTCATTCTCAAGGAATTAGTAAATTGCGTTAGGTCACATCATTTATAGCAAAACAAAATGCTATAACACAGAATGCTTTTTTCTTATGGTAGCTTTGACTTCTTTTCCTATAGAATAGGAACCTGTACTGCATATACTTTATTCTGATGTGTGCAGTGTGGGTGTCATATTAAATGCATGTGTTTATTTGTGCAGTGCATTTTTTCATTCTTTTTGGAGTGCTTACTTTTTATTTGGATTGTTAACGACTTTAATTATTAATTATTGTTGTCTGGTTTCAATGTTAAAGACAACGGGGAAGAAACGTCAAGCTTACCTAATAATGGGAAAAAAGGCAAGTCTGAAATGGCTTTTCTACATATTAGACTCAATGTACTGACATTTACAATGTGTATGAATATATTTCTTTGCGTTATGGAGGTATAAGCCTTAGTCCTAACTTCATTGATTTAGTATTAAGAATACTTGCTTGTATTTATTTCTAAATAGTTATTTA